TCTCCCATTGTCACTGGGTGACTGAAGAAAGGGGGAAAACCAAGAATGGAAGACAAAGGGGAAGGAAGGGGAGAATATATGAAAAATACAAGTAGGGACAAAGGACTGTAATGCTAAGAGAAGAGAAGAGCTCTCTAGAGGCAGGTGCGACCAAAGGATCCCCACCCAGCCTTTTAGCCAATGCCTGGGACTTGTGAGGTTGGAGGACTCTGTGGCTCTCCTGAAATGCTTCATACCTGATGTGGCTTCTTCCTCCTGAGAGACTCACCACTTGTATAAGGAGTGTGAGAATATCCAGCCTTCCTTTCCATGGTTGGTTTCCCTTGACTTTCCCTCAAACATGCCTCTTATATTATCCATAAACAGGCTAAAAATACATATGAATCCCCAAGGAGCCGAAAGCAAAGGCTTTGCACAACCCGCAGGGACGTGGCCAAAACTTCAGTGGCCTAGTTGCCAACAGCGATCTTAGCACGATTTCAAGGTACTCTGCAGGCTCTCATCCTCGTCTCCATCCCCCTCCCCCAAGCAAATATTTGTTCACTGGGGCCTGAAATTGATTTTCAGGGGACAGAACTTTTCATTTCATAATAGGAAATGATTTGGGATGCACAGTCACTCTCTTAGGCAAAGCAAAATACGGCTTTAAAGTCACCATTTGGAAGCCTTCTGATCCCTTTCCCAAGAGCAAGGCAGGGTGCCCAAGCTGGTATTAGACAAGAGTCCATTCCAAGGACAGACAAGGCAAAAGAGGGAAGCTGGGAGCAAAGACCTCAAACTGATTACTGATAAGGTGTGTAGGGCACCATCTTTTCTGCTAAGTCTTCCATGTTGCTCAAAAGAACATCTACAAAGTGACCCCGATAACTTCTCCAGTCTCACAGACCACCAGCAATACCCCATACTTGTCCCCTGCACCCAACGCTGGCACACACAAAGTATCTTGAACTACTTTGTAGAATCCCAAGAGATTTGTCGTTTTCTGGGTATCCTTCTGCCCAGGATAATATGAACCATTCTACCCAGCTCCACACCTGTCCCTTCCCCCTGGACCATCTCTGAACTTTATTGGGGGTCATAATTTAGATATGATTTCCTGAAGAAAGCTGCTCCTGAAACACTAAGTCTGAGCTGGTCCTTGTCTCTCAAGCATTCCCATGGTGCTGATGATCGCACCTTACATAAGATTGTCATTTGTTACATGGTTTCCTGTCTGTTGTCCTCTGTAGACTTTGGAGGTCTAGAGTGTATCCCCATCATCTAATGCAGTGCCTGGAGCAAAAATTCCAATAATGATTATTGGATACGTAGATGAATTGTTTGCATTCTCCAGCAGAAAGGGAATGTAACTAAAGAGGAAAACTTAACAGAAATGTTGACCTAAACTTATGGATATTCCCCTCTCTAGTTAAGAAAATAAATTTTTTTCATCAAAATAACAGAAAAGCATATTAGGAAAAGAATAAATCTGTATTAGTTTGTTAGGGTGGAGAAATTGCTTTATGAAATAATGTCATATCTCAATTGATGAGAACAGTAAGTGTATTCATTTATGGCATAGTCCAATGATGTCAGAGTTAGGGTGGAACATTCATCCAGCTTTCAGAAAGCATAGGAGAGTCTATAGGAGGACGTTTAGGAAGGGTCTGAAAGAGTCCCTTGTTCCTAACTCTGTCACATGGCCCTTTCCAACTGTAAGGAAAAGAACAAAGTAGAGGCTGGAAAACTCAAAACATCTCCCGAAACTCTGCAAAACAAACAAGGAGTACCTGAGCAAACCAGAAAGTTTAGAGAATTTCTCCAAACAGACAAGCACTTGGGTGGGACTGAATTTGGTGAAATTTAGGAATAAGTGAACTGAGGAAACTGGGCAGAGAAGAAACTCAGGGAGAAACAAACAAAATTCACATGGTAGAGAAATTCTAAAAAACTGAAATAAAATCCAGAAATACTTCAAACCCAGTCAAGAAACACAAACCACTGGAAGGGTGTCTAAAACTGTTGAAGTTAATATTTGAAACTGCACTTAGAAGAGTTGGGCTACCACTGACTCCCAGCAGAAGCTACCAGTGTTGGTCTTGGAGACCAAAGCAGTATTCTGTGTAAAATAATACTGGGCCTGCACAAGGACAAGCAATGACCAAAAATAGAAAGTGAATTCAGAATTATAGTCAGCACCAAGTTAAACTTCTTAGCATTTCTCTCTACAGCAAGAATTCCACCCTAGAAACGTGTGGCAGGAAATGCGTCACAGGAAACAAGCCTGACAGGGAGCCCAGGACAAATGGCCTTGGGATGGGAACGTCTCGCACCCATGAGAAGAGTTTCAAACACATGTTGTCCAGCCACACACCCTGCCCCTTCTCCACAATTACCAGGACACTGTTGGTAGAAGGATAGACAGAGATGCTCAGAGACATCTGAACAGACATCCAGGAATGACCAGATTTTCAAAGAAAAAAAATCAACACTGCTAAAGGAAGACACCAAATGTAACAAATAACCAATATTGGAAGAAGAGTTATTAAGATGATGAAAAGTTTAAAATGTGTGTGATCATTATATGCAAAGGAAAGAATCATTATATTCATGAGTCCGCCATATTCATAAAACAGTAATTATCTATACCAAGTTGGAAACAGTGTGAGGCAGGCTCTCTTACTGAACCTGGACCTTGAAGCATTGTCCCTAGAGATGTAGCAGGTAACTGTCCTACCTACCTATGACCTTGAAGTACCTGCCCCTGGGGCATGGTTTGAGGCTACCCTTAAGACTTGAGATGAACATGAATTGCTCTCTTCTCTCCCTTGTGGTCTTGGATGCTGAGACAGACCAGGCAAAAGAACAGTGCAGGACTGTAACTCGGCAGCCATGCCTGCCAATTGCCTGGGTGCTGGGGATTTGAACTCAGGTCTATGCGTTACGCAGCACAGTCTCTTTCCCACTTAGCCACCTTCCATCCATAATATCCTTGTTCATCAGGGAATATATACTAAAGTATTTAGGACCCTGTGAAGTAAGGCCTGCAGCTCATATTTAAATGGTTCATCACAAAAATATATATAAAAATTCATATATCATTTTAGATATCAACTTATATGCAATTTTTCAAAATAAAAGGTGAATCCTAATCAAGTGCCAGGAAGAGTTAATGTGAAGGAGTTCACACAGAGAGACATATTTAGAAGGCATTTTCAGATTCAAAAGTTGAAAGATTATACCCTAAAACTTTTCAGAGATCCATAAATAGACGACATACAAAAGCATCTCTGGATATAAATAGAAGATGAGAGAACAATGCCATCCAACATCTCAGAGCAACTTAGTTTGATCATGAATTTCTGTGCGTAGCCAATAGAATGTAGGTGCGAGCACAGTGGAAGAGGCGGGAGAATATGTATTTTGAGGCGCATAAAGGCTATTTTTCCACAGGTCCCCTCTGAAATTTTCAGGCAAAAGTACACTCCATACATGCCTTCCTGGTACCTAGCCTTCAAAGTTTAAAAAGCAGAGGTCTTTTCCTGGGAGTCCCCCTCGGCCCTCTCCCAAATCACCCAGCTCAAGTTCAAGTCCACAGATGAATTCTGCTCAGAGGTGGGTGGTGAATGGACACTTGGACCAGAAGACAAATGCAAATGGGTTTTAGAGCCCACTGCCCTCTGACTGTGAAATGATGACATACTAAATCATGTGCTTAACTGATTCCCACCCAACAGCGTACCCTAAGATTGTAAAGACCATTCTTCAGGCAAACTTACATCCCCAAGGATCAATGTGCACAAAGCGCACTGCCGAGGACCAGCACTTTCCACCAGACAACTTGTATTCATGCTCTGGCTGAGTTCTCCAAGTTTCTGCTGTGCTTTGAGGAAGGGTTCACAGGTCCCGCTTCAGGGGGTGCGCCTTTCTCCTTGTGTTTTTAACTTAGGCGACAGAGGAAGACAGGCAGAGTTGTTACCAGTTCCTACAGAAAAGATAGATTTTCCCCACGAGCAGCCATTCTCTTCACAGGTTTGAGGGTGTTGCTGTTGTTGTTGTTGTTTTAAAGGATTGGTAAGACTGAGCAAAAAGGCAAGAAGTGAAGCTTCTATATCATACATGCTCAATGATAGCCAACAATTTCAATTTCTCTAGAATTACATCTGTGTACTAAAAGTAAAATTAAGTTAAAAAGTATAAAACACTAGAGATACCTTATCTCCAAGCAGCCTAATGTTGGACAGCAGCTTTGCAGTTATTGATATAGCTTTTAATATTATTGTCTAATGGTGGCTCGTACCTGTAGGCTTAGCACTCAGCAAACTGAGGTCCAAGGATTGCCATGAGTTTGAGGCCAGCCTGGGCTACATAGTGTCAGTACATGCAGGGCTATCCAAGAAGACCTTGTCGAAAGGAGATCACAGGGCTGCATCATAGGGCTGGGTTTGCTTCCCATAGACTGCTGTGTTAAAGGACACTGGAGAGCCAAGCAATTGAAAGGCTAGTCCGTGCTCTGCGGAAGCCTGACAAAGCCGGTGTCTGGGATCAGAGAGAACAGTGGGGAGCTCCCACCCTCCCTGCTGAGTGTCACCTTCTCCTGACCCTGCTGCTCACTCTTGACTCTAAAACCAAACCCCGGCTTGTGTTCACAGGCTAAATCCCTGCTCCCAAGGCAGGGATCTAAGTCACTCAAGCCAGGTTACAAAGCAACTCTTCATCAAAGGTCGGGCCCTCAATTTTGTTTTGACCTTTAGGTGGTGTTGACCTCAGCTATCAGTCCAGAATGTTGTAAGAGCATACTATATACACACCCAAACGTGCATACACAACACACACACACACACACACACACACACACACACACACACACACACACACACTTGCTTTATAACTCAGACAGACATTAGGATTAATGAAGCGCTTGACTCAAAGCATAGCCAGGCTTTGTAATGACATCTGAGTAAAGCAATTGCACTGCTCATGTCTTACCCACGTCTCCTTATCAAATCCCTTTTCCTTAGGGAAGGAAGCTAGTGGAGGAGTGAAGAGTTTGGACAACAAAAGTGAGGAGAATGCTGAAACACCTGCCCTGGAGGACTCCTCTTCCCCTCTAGAGAGCCAGCAGCAGCCCTGGCAGGTTTCCACAGACATCGAGAATACTGAAAGGTAAGTGGGACACTCCCCTGGACAGAAGCCGCCCCTCCTGACGTCAGTGTTCTCAGGGGCCACTGGGAGTGCAGGGTTTTCTATTCCAGGTTCGGGAGAAACAGGGCTCACTACCGCGTGACAGAGCAGCTCCTCTGGCAGGAACCTGGAGTCTGCCTAACCTGCAGAGGGAAACCCGGGGAGAGGGCGAGGTGGTAGTCGGGATTGTGTAACCATAACAAAATCACTGAGAAAACAACTCAAAGGTAGAAAGTCTTGTCTCGACTCTTGATTTCAGAGACTGTGGTCTAGGAGTAGCTGGCTCCATTGCACTTAAGTGTGTCAACAATACGGGAGAGCTTAGAACAGAAGACACTACTCAGCTCATGGCAAGCCTGAAGCAGAGAGAAAGAAGAAGGGGCCGGAGGCAAGATGTGCCCTTCAAAGGCGTACCCCTGGTGACTTAGGACCTACTTCCTCCAACTGTGCCCCACCTCCTAATGTGCCCTACCTCCCAATAATAATGTCAAATAATTTATCCATCAATGCACTGACCTGCCAATTAGGTGAGAGTCCTCGTGGTCCAACTACCTCTTAACAGGGCCTCTAGCTAGGGACCAAGCCTTCAACATATAAACCTTTGGGACCATTTTATGATCAAATTGCAGTAAGTAAGTAGTCCATACCCTACAGGGGGACATGCAGGATCTACAGCAGTTTCAGGCTCGTAGACATCTGCCTACCTCCACCCAACACATCACATCTCCATTGTATATGAAAACAAGCAAGGGGTGCACAGTTATAATCCCAATACTTGGGAGGCTCTGTCTCCAAAAGAAAAGGAAACAGTATACTTCTTAGAAGAGAAAAGAGAAGACCTATTTCCATCACAGTTCACCCAATGGCCAGTTCCTAAACCACCCTTTTGTTTGAGAGAAAAGAATCTAAATTACCCAAGGATACTTCCAATAGATTCTTAGGTTTTGGGTATTTGGAATGTCCTACTTCGAACTTTGACCAATTCACAGACGTTCACAGCCTCTTTTTCCTCTCCTGAAATACAGCTGATGGCATGTTAGGAGTCAGAGTCAGTTAATGCATTGACCTACACAGCTTGCTGCTAAGGAGGGACTTTCTCTAGGAAGGAAAAATGCTATGGTGATTCTGTTTCATTGAGGAAACAATAATGATAAAAGAGCAAGGACTCATCCCATCAACATGTTGAATATACTATTCCGTGAAGTAAAAGATGAGGTCCTGTGTAGCCTTCGCAGTAATGCCTATGCCCTTTGCTATGAACGTCCCTAGAGCTGGCACAAAGCAGCTGAATGAACGGGGTGATTCTACTCCATGTTCCTCTCTGTGTATGAGTCACTGACAAGATAATGAACATTTTATTTTTTTTATTTTTAGAAATGGAACACACAATGGCATTTATAGCCATTGTGGTTCCACTTTCAGGTTGTAATATAATTCTAATGCTAATTACCAGATTTCTGTGTTTATAGGAAATTGGAGCAAGTGGTAATTGTGTGCTATTAATATCACCTGTATACACTTCAATATCCAATAATTCAAACAATAAAGCTTGTTTGTCTCCATTTTATAGAAATATGAACAAATGATGACAGAGTCATGTATCTTAATTTATACAAATAAATTATTTTATAGAAATAAATGGAAAATTCTCTGGTCTGTTCCCAGAGAAAAGGGGTGCATCTGTCAAAATGCCATGGTCAGGGCAGAAGCCATCTGCAAAGCTGTTTTTGTTTCCTTTTCATATGCCTCAGATAGCAGTTAGATCCATACCTCATGCTCTAAGCAATTGCTGGGTATGGTGACACACACATCTAGTCCTAGCTCTTTGGAGGCAGAAGCTGGTAGATTTCTGAGGGTTCAAGGCCAACCTGGTCTACAGAGTGAGTTCCAGGACAACCAGGGCTACACAGAGAAACTCTGTCTCAAAGAACAAAAACAAAAAACAAACCAAAAAAAAAAAAAAAAAAGAATAAAGAAAAGAAAGGAAAAGGAAGGAGGGAGAGAGGAAGAAAGAGAAAAGAAAGACAGAGACAGAGAGAGCAATGTTACATGGTAGTGAATGGGCTAGAACAGAAGTCCAGATTTTGGTCAAGGGAGAGGGAAGCCTGAGGTGAGCTTCTTCGGTGTTCCTTTTCTCTCTGCCCAGCGCTCCATGGGTCTCAAACTGGTCTGGCATTTAACTCACCAGGAGAGCTCTTTAAAAGTCACTGGCAACTGCCTCCTTTGGAAGCCAGCCCAGTCAGGTTCTCTTCTTGGGTGCAGGGGAGGCCCAGAGATCATCCAGTGCAAGGTGACCACTGGGACTTGGTCCCGGGGGTGCTTGCTTCATCCTTCCCCTCCCATTCAACCTGACTGGCGATCTTACCTGGAAACACGACTGAGGGTGGCCCCGCCTCCGGGCGCCAGGGTCTTCCTGTTGCCTGCTTGGCATTCTGTGCCCATGACACTCCATCAGCCTCACACCCTTGGACGCCACTGCGAATGCTCCAGGGGTCTTTCTATCCATTCATCGGGCTGCTCTCCCTTCCTTTTCCAGTCAGTGCTGCCTGAGACCTGAGCTCCCTTTAGTTTGTTTATTCTTTCTTTCTTATTTATTTATTTATTTATTTTACATCCCGACCACAGTTTCCCCTCCCTCCTCTCCTTCTATTCCCTCCCTCCACCTCCCCTCCTCACCGCCCCCGCCCAATCCACTCCTCCTCTGTTTCTGTTCAGAAAGGGACAGGCCTCCCATGGGTGTCAAAAAAGCATGGCATATTAAATTGAGGTAAGACTAAGCACCTCCCTTTGTGGTGCTTAGGGAATCCAGTGTGAGGAATAAATTCCCAAGAGCCAGCCAGTGTGTTAGGGACAGCCCTGCTCCCATTGTTAGGTGTCCTATAAGTAGACCAAGCTACACAACTGTAACATATATGTAGAGGGTTTCGGTCGGTCCCATGCAGGCTCTCTGGTTGTTGGTTCAGACTCTTCAAGTTTCTATGAGCCAGGTTGTTTCTTTGGGTTTGTTAGTTGTTTCTTTGGGTTTTCTTGTGATGTGCTTGATACCTCTGGCTCCTACAATCCACCCTCCCTCTCTTGAGCAGGACTCCTCGAGCTCAGCCTAATGTTTGCCTATGGGTCTCTGTATCTGTTTCTATCAGTTACTGGATGAAGGCTCTCTGATGATAATTGGTGTGGTCACCAATCTGATCACAGGAGATGGTCAGTTCAGGCTACATATCCACTATTGCTACAAGTCTTAGCTGGAGTCATCTTGTAGATTCATGGGTTTCTCTTGCATCAGGTTTCCATCTGACCCTGAAATGGCCCCCTGTTTCCAGTTATCTCTTTCAGTACTCTCCCCCTCCATCTACCCCTCAATCTGATCTCTCAAGTTCCCATCCCCACCCATCCCCAGTCCACCCAAGAGATCTCGGCTATTTCCCCTTCCCAGGGAGATAAATGTGTCCCACCTTGGGCCCTCCTTATTACCCAGCCACTCCCAGTCTGTGAATTGTAGCCTGGTGATCCATCACTTTACAGCTAATATCTACTTATGAGGGAGAACAAAGCATTTTTTTCTTTCTTGGTCTGGGTTACTCACTCAGGATGATCTTTTCTCGTGCCATCCATTTGCCTGCAAATTTCCTGATGTCATTGTTTTTAACAGCTGAGTAATACTCCATTGTGTAAAGGTATCACATTTTCTTTATCCATTCTTCGGTTGAGGGGCATCTAGGTTGTTTCTAGGTTCTGGCTATTACGAATAAAGCTGCTATGAACAAAACTGAGCTAATATCCTTTTGGTATGATTGGAGCTTCCTTTTGTATCTTAACCTTGAGAGAGAGAGGATCAGCTTGGGTCTGTGGCCTCTCCCAACAGTGGTCCTCCAACGCTACTCAACAGAACAGTGGTGCTTTGTGAGACAGACTGAAAATTTCAAGCTGGAAATTGCATGATGGATCTTTCCTCAACTTAAAATGAAAAATAGTAGCTATAAAGTCTCTAATTTAGGGGTTCTCCTCTATCTCTCTCCTCTTTTGTTGTACTAGATATTAAACTTAAAGTCCCACCCAGGCTAAGTAAATGCTCTACCCATGCATTCTATCTTCAGTTCCCCGACTCTTTTTTTTCTTTTTCAATTTTTTGTTTTGAGACAGGGTCTCATTAAGTCGCTCAGGCTGGACTTGAATCACTCTGTAGCCCAGGTAGGCCTCAGACTTTTGATCCTCCTGCCTCTACTCATGAGAAGCTGTAAGTATGGGCTTATTCAACCAGCTTTAGCTCAGCTTTAGAATTTTCTTCCCCCACAAACATGTTTTTAAAGAAATGTATTTGCCTATTTATTTATTATTTATTTATTTATTTATTTATTTATTTATGTACACTCAGGTATGCAGGTGTGTTCATGTGTATGCTACACGGTACACATGAAGCTGGGAAGACAAGTTGTGTGTGTGTGTGTGATGTGTGTGTGTGTGTGTGTGTGTGTGTGTGTGTGTGTGCTACACTGCACATGTGCAGGCCAGAAGTCAGTTTTCTTCTTCTAGCATGTGGGTCCTGGGAATTGACTTCAAGTTATCAATGGTCCCCAATGGCTTCTCTCCCTGTATCTCTATTATGAAGAGCTCTTCTCTGGATGTCTCAGAATGTATCCCTTGCCAGGCGTGGTGGCATAAGCCCATCCCAGCCCTCAGGAGGCTGAAGCAGGAGAGCCAGAAATTCAAGTCCATCCTCTGAGAACTTTTCTCAAAGAAACAAGGGCTGTGAATGTAGTTCACTGATGAGAGACTTTCTAAGATTCACAAGGCCCTGGGTTTGATGCCTAGTACCACACAACAACAATGATCGTAATGATAGTAATAATAATTTATTGTCCTGCTAATATTCAGTTCTTGGCAAAGGGGAGTCTTAAAATAGCAGACAGCAAGTAATCTGCCCAGAAGCCCAGCCATCTGGCCGTAAGCCTCAATGGTGCGTCCTGAAGCCTGACCCCCCCAGGGGCCCACTGTTCCAGTTACGTGTCCTTGGCCTCTCCCCGTGGATCCATAATACTGTCCTCAATATAAAAACTCTCCACTGAATTCAGCCAGGTAGGACCAAAGGCAGAGATGCTGAGGACTGGAAGAGAATCCCCCCTGAGGAAACATTTGGCAAGAAACTCCATTTCTTCTGCAGCCCACCCTCTCAGATATTCTTTCTTATAAAAGCAAAGTCATTTCAATTTGTGTCAGCTAGGAACTAGAACTGGTATGATTCGATGTACCTACCTTGTATGCATCCAGTAGAACACACCGCTTGAGGCTTCATTTGGGAAATGCACAGCTGAGTTTTCTTTCTTTTTATCGATTTTACAGAGACATGCGAGAAATGAAAAACCTCCTAAGCAAACTCAGGGAAACCATGCCTTTACCGCTGAAAAATCAAGGTGAGTCCTGGGACGTCTCTTGGAGGCAGAGGATGTTTTTAACATGCTGACCTTGGAACCTGATTCTTAGCAAGGTAACACAAGTGTTTTCCACAGAGAGAGGAAGGCCTCGAACGTTTCTCTCCCTTAGAGAGAATGTGATGAGATGTCATCTTGGTGATGGAGGTAGAAAGATACACTGATCTGACAAAGGATGCCCATATCTCTGCCAGACCTGTCATGCACCATAGAAAACACCACACCAGATGTGCCTCCACAATAGGACCAAGAACATGGCCCTTGCCTGCATAAAGTTTGTAGACTAGTGGAGGACTATCCCTCCATTTACACGTTCAATTATATAAAAATAAGAAGAGTTAATATATATTAGGAACACACAGTGTGCCACTATCCTGAGTAATTCATATATATCAGCTATGTTGGCTATGTTGGCTTATATAATTCTTTGGGTTTTTTTTTTTCTCTCTCATATTAAGGGTTAAAGCAAGGTCCTTACATGTTAGGCAAGTAGTCTACCATGAGCTGTATCCCCAGCTCCCTACTTAAATATAATAATGATGTAGGGAGATTCTGTTATAGTTTTCCTAATCTACAGGGAACTGAGACACAGAGATTAGTCAGTTTTTTCAATGTCATACAGATTATAGTAGAATGACTGAGCTGTGGATTTGAACGCATGAAGCCCATCTCTAGAGCTGATTGAGAGAATACAACCTGACACAGACATGGAAAGGGATACTCACCAGAATGAGGGACGGTCCTGATCTTGTTAACCCTTGGATCCCCCGTATCTGGACCTGGAACACAGAATACCACCTGGCACAAACATTAAGTCTTCGTTAAATCTTCACCCAGCTTTGCAGGACTCTAGGGCTGAAGCAGTGCACAAAAGTAAATAATAAGTGCTTTACATGAAGCATACTCAGCTAGAGCAGCCATGAGCGAAACATTAGCTTCAGAAAGTGGTACCAAGAGGATGGGAAAGGCTCTTTAGAAGCAGGAAAGAAACTCCCCGTTTCCAGCGAACAAAGCCTAGGCAGGAGAGAGGACGGTACACTGTTTGCCTGGGAGCCAGGGAAGCTGAGTGAAGAGGAGGGGAGAGGGAGGACTTGGCAGCGGAGCTGAAGGGCCTCTTGGCTCAGAGAGCGTCTCAGCAGAAGGTGGAGAGGTGGAGGCAGGCGAGAGCACCAGACAGAGGCTGAGAAGCAGCCTAGGCTGTACTGCGCTGGAGGCCTGGGTCGGAACAGGGGGCAGGGGAGGAGGCAGGTCATTCCAAGTAAGCCCCAAGAGCCTGCTCAGGAGGTCAACCGCCTCCACCCCCACCCTCGGAGCCAGTCAGTCAGTGTGCTTCAGAGTCCTGGAAGAAAGTAGACATGTAGTAACAGGATTTCTCTGACCACACAGGCGAAGCTGCTGAGAAGCATGGGTTTAGGATGAAGGGCTTCAGTTAAAGTTAGACTTGAGTTCAGATTCTGGCTCTGCCATTGTTCAACCATGTGACCTAGAGCAAGCTGTTGGACTTCTAGAAACTTCAGATTTCTTGTCCCTGGTTGGGGGAAGGAAGGCTTCAGATGGTGGCTTGAGGATTAAAGAGACAGTACACCATATGCCTGTCATCGATCTTACAAACAGCAGACGTTCAAGGGACTCTCGGCTGTTGTCGTATTGGTGGAAACTGCTCTTACCATTAACTAGCTGGTCCACTCCGACGTGCTCAGAACTCCAAGCCAGCAGCAAGTAGAACTCAGCTTGCAAAGACCACCACGGGTCATGTCCATGTCAAATCTTGAGCTCCAGGCCAGAGCACAGGCCTCTGGGACATCACATTTGGAGCACATGTTAGGATCAATAGGTTTGGCAAGCCCCCCTAGGGACTGCCCTGTCCTGATACTGAACCATACATTCAGCTTTCCAGGAGGGCAACTTCCCACGGTGCCCAGTCTGAATTTTATGAATGCCACGAAGTCTCTATTTTGTGTGAGCCTACTTTAAGCCTTCCTTCCACAATTAGCGTTAGTCCCCAGGGCCATTTCGGAATTTCTGTGTGTTGACAGAAAACAAAAACAGAAATTTCATTTTAATTAGGTAATTTTCAAAAATCCTAGGAGGTATAATAATAAATATTTTTATATTCTATAAGCAGAAAAATTAGTGGACCTTACAAAAGAGCAACAGCAGTAAGTGTTGGTACTTACTACTAGTGAAAACATAAAAGGGAATAATCGCCCAAGTAAATAAAACCAGGTCTTAAATCATGAATCCATCTGGAAAATGAAAATACAAAGATTTATTCGGGAAGCGATTCAGTCGTATTCTAACAATCGAAAGAATAGCTGAGGCAAAGGGCTTTTGGAAATGCGGGCATCTCATTCTGTGGAGAAATTCACTTAGCAAGTCGGCCTCCACTCCCAGCACGCTGTCAGTGGGCAGAGGAGTGTGAGAATCGGAGGAAGGGGCCAGACAGGCCCCGAGGGAAGGATCACCAGTCTCTTGAGACACTTTTTGACAGACACATATGGCAGTGCCATTCAATTCATTTCAGAAATCATCCAGATTCTTCCCTCTGACTGCGGAAACCGAGATGGCCAGCCACAGAGGCTCCTCGTACCGGCAATGTGTGTGTTCTGCAGGTCTGAGTGAAGGTGTGCAGGAAATGGAGTGATGTGTGGAAAAAATTATTCCAGCTCTTTCATGTAGAACCTTGTTCTCAAAAGCTGGTTCTAACTGGTTGAGAACCATTATAGCAAGCCATCTGTTTCTTTTCTGGCTGATTTCCTTTCTGTTTTTATTCCATTTGCATGTGTGTTAGAAACAGAAAAGGGGAGAAGATGTCACTCATGGTCCTGGCTTCCTGTGCTTGGACGGCTGGCCGTGTGAACCCCTGCCAGCTCAGACTCCAAGTCTCCACTCAGAAGTCTTGAGTTCATTTTAAGACTTGATTATGTCTCCCCCACTCCGTACTCAACAAATGTTCACTTGAAGTTTGTTTTCAAAGGGAAGGAAAGCGGAGTGGCCAAGGACAGGGATTCAAACCATCCCTGAGGCACCTTCATTGTATACATTGCCTTCTCTGTTGGTGTCCTTCCATCCTGAGCTTGGAGACGTGGGTACCCAGGAGGAGAGTGCCCCCCACCTTGTTCTGTGGCACCTCCCTGGCTGGCTGCAGGCAATGTCCAGGTCTCCTGGCTCAGCTGTTCCTTGGGCTGCTTCAGTGACTCTCCTGTCCTCCATTCTGGGTCATTGGCAGTACTGCAGGGAGCTTCATTAATTATGATCAGCTTGCTGTGTCAAATGGATTACAAATGGAACCACCTGTGGGGAGCCCACAAGGTGACTGACAAAGGCTGGAAGGAGGCTGGGGAGTGAAGGGCAGGCCTCTTCTAAACGCACGCTGTTATAAAACAAAACAAATCAGCAGAAATAGATTAAGCCTGAAAGACAGTTTCACTTTTGCTCCAATTCTGACTTAACAAGGTCTGTGGGATGTGGTGGTGTCTTCACTTGAGCGTAGAATCCAGTTGCTGGTGGCACGCATTAGAATCCATAGGAACGGAATCTGCTCTAGAATAGGATTGATTCAGTTAAGAGGCAAGCGCTGTATTCCAGATGAGACATGCTTCAGATATTATGTAATGTCAGGGGGCTAAGGAGGAAACTATGGCAGGTCAGATATGATGCATAAGGGGGCAAGCAGAATCAAGGATGAATCTGGGTTCAGTCTTGGATAGCAGAGCGAATGACGGCATAGGTCATTAAGTGGGGAGAAGGAAGCAAGAGCCCTCAAGATAGACCATAACCACAGTGTTGGACATGGAGGTAAGGGTAATGTTCAATGGCTAACAGTGTTGAGGGAAGACAAGATCCAGGAAAACCGGAAACAGATCTGAGTATCTTCAGAACAGTGGTCATTGGAGCCCAACAGACAGCTGCAACTGTCCATGGGAAATTTGCCAAGAGAATGCTCTGTGATGCAAAAATGTAAGGCTTAAAGGGAAAGAAGAGCCGTTCACAAAGGGATCTGAAGAAGAAAATCAAAAGAGCATTGCAAAATGAATCAAAAAAAAAATTGAAAGGAAGGAATGGCTAATTATGCAGGGTGATTAAGTTGGATAAAAACTGCCAAATCTGAAGGATTTGGCAGAAAGGTAGTCACTGATGGTGACAGCAAAGCGCCCAATTTGGAGTTGGGGACAGGGAAGCCTGGTTGAGGGGAGTTATTCAATGAACAGGAGATAAAGAGACAGCAAGGATAAATATATGCAGATTTTTAATCAACAGTTGTTTTTAGCATGGCAAAAAGATGGGATCAGAAGCAGTTAATCTACCCAGATAATTGTTTATAGAAGGGATGGGAACAGGAAGAAAGGCAGAAGCATGGAGCAGCCAGAAAATGCATATAAATAAGCAACTGAAGCTAATCTCAAAGGGGAGATTACCAATCAACCAAAGAGGGAAGCATGTGGGGGAAGGAAAGCATATGTAAGTAAACGCAGAGAAGCAAGAGACTGTGGGCCTATGTAGATAATTTCAGTAGGTAATTTAACGTTGGGCGCCACTTGTTAAGCGAATCCACGAGAGTCCGTTAAAGGGTATCAAGGATTTATTAAGATTGAAAATGGGGAGAAATACACTCACAGATACAGAACAAAGCAAACAGCCATTGTTGTCCTCCGTTCTGCCTGGGGGTGAATGGAACCAGCCTTCCAGTCTCTGACCACCCCAGAGAGTGAACATGTGCCCCCTCCTCAGGCCCTTCTATCCGGCCAGATACTCCAAGGTCATTGGCGGCGAATTCCCACAACACTACCCCTCCTTCATAAACCTTTCAGTCCACCCTGACTAGTCTGTTTATTTGAACCTGAACTAGGCTGCCACTGGTGCCCTGTATCTGTGATCATACTATCCCCTTCATTCAGAACACCTACCCCCTTGAACAAACACACAAGTTCTCATTCCTGTGGCCAAGAATGATCACCATGGTCTACATGAATCTTCCATGA